GAGACAGACAGAGAGAGAGAGACAGAGAGACAGACAGACAGACAGAGTGAGACAGACAGAGAGAGACAGACAGACAGACAGAGAGAGAGACACTACTAACACTTGTTTCTTCCTCTGAGTATGGTGCTGTACTGTATGTATAAAGTTATACTTTAAAATACTATAAGTTAATATAAAGTTAATGTAAAGTTAATATAAAGTTAATGTAAAGTTAATGTAAAGTTAATATAAAGTTAATATAAAGTTAATGTAAAGTTAATATAAAGTTAATGTAAAGTTAATGTAAAGTTTATATAAAGTTAATATAAAGTTAATGTAAAGTTAATATAAAGTTTTTATAAAGTTTCTATAAAGTTTCTATAAGTTGATTGAGCCTCAGAGTGAATTCCCTCCAGCAGAGGCAGCGTCACAATCACTCATCTTCTAACGTCTGACATCATGTGAAGGAAACAGATGATGTAATGTTCAATAAGATTTCCAACAGGAGCCACAAACAGAGATATACCCCCCCCCTTAGAGGTTAGTGGATGAATGAGAGTCTGATGTTAATCCTGCCAACAGAAACCAAAGGAAGCCACAGTGGAGGCTTCATGGATCACTAAAGAGAAACAGGGTCAACTCACTCTAACTTCTTTATAGAGTTTACATGTTTCTGTTTTATTAGTGGAGACATGTATTCAGTTTTAAAATGTCTTCTGTACTATTATTAATATTATTATTATTATCTCCAATAAAAGTGCAGGCTTGTTGACAAAAAGCTTCCTTCTTGATTTTAAGGTGAGTTTATTAAGGTGAATAAAATAATTAAAGGTAAAGTTAAAGGCTATTTAGTCTGTTTTGACTTTTAAAGAATCTCAAAATTCATTCATTTTACACAAACTTCTTACACTTACTGGGTTCACTGTTTAGGTTGATTATACAGTTTTGAATATAATAAGAAATATCCATAAAATACGTCACTTATAAGCAGGACTCATCACTTTACTTGTAGATTGGCAGATTAAAGCTGCAGTGTGTAACATTTAATAGGATCTGCTGTCAGAAATAGAATATAATATGTTTTCATTAGTGTATGATCGGCTGAATACAGGAGTTATTGTGTTTTTGTTACCTTAGATTGAGACGTTAAACCTCCATTATTTCTACAGTAGCCCAGAATGGACAAACCAAACACTGGCTGTTTGTAGGAGCTTTTTTCAGGGGTTTTTTTTTTCTTGGGTTTCAGCCGGTGTTTCCCACACACACTTCACATTTTCTAAAATCCTGCAGCCACGTGACCGACACATTGAAGTTCTTCTATTGGGATAACTACTGAAATAAAAGTGATATTAAAATATTCTTGCCCCCTGTAACTCCTTCAAGAACGTGTCTGGAGGGAATCTTTACATTTACAAATATGGAGAAAGGAGGTCTCTAACATCCAGATATCACTTGTTCTTGTTATTGTATGTGATATTTTATGATAACAAACCTCTGACTCACCATACTGACACATTATGTGGTCGGCTGCAGATGTTACTGTTACTACTAATACACAATTATTCAGATGTGATTCAGCACAGAAAATAGGGTTATGTAATAAGTGTGTGTGGAAACGTCTACAGGGGGAACTCATTTATCCTCTTAAAGCTGATAAACCATCATTCGTGTCCCACCTTCCTCCTTTCCTTTTATTCTGCATTTCATTTTATTTACTATTGTTCATATTTAGTTTAATTTTGTTTGTATTTACATTAAAGTATTTCCACTTCCAGTCTTATAAAGCTGTATAGATTTTCATTATCCATTATTATTATTATGCCAATTTATTTTTTTGTTAATGCTGAATGTGAATTATTATTGTTGTTGCTTTAATACATTTCTGAAAACTTAAATAAAATATGAATAATATTAATTAAGTCCACACCCCCCCTAATAGAAATCTAACATGAGTTCATTTGAGGTAAATAAATAAGTGTCCTTCAGCGCCACCGTGTGGCTGTTGTTTGGTATTACACCCCAGAGACGTGACCCACTTTGAACTACAACACATAAAACCTTTAACATATTAAATATCTTAAAACAGCAGGAAATTGCATAGAGTTTGGTGAGCAGAATTATCCTTTAAATTAAATCTTAAAGTTACTCACATTATCCTGCCATAAAATATTTTCATATATTAGAATAAAATGTTTGTTTTAATGTATAACATATATATATATATTAACATTAAGAATATATATGCGGATTTATTGTAGGTGTATTTATTGATTTAAAGTGTATTATAGTCTATTTACAGGTGATCTGGGCTGTATTATGGACATAGTGAAGGTTTCAGTCGGATTGTTTTGTGAGCGAACAGGAAGAAAATACACTTCCAGTTCAAATAAATAAATAAATAAATAAATAAATAAGAATGAGATGTGTGTGCAGCGTGAGTTCGATCCCCACGGTGGAGGTGATCAGAGTCTGACAGCGTGGGATCGAAGCTGCTGATCGGCCGGTCACGTAGTGCACGTCGCCCATTGGCAATGACAGGAAGCGAGTATCAGGAAGCAGCGTTTCACATCAGATCACCGCCTCCCCACACACACACACACACACACACACACACACACACACACACACACATATATATACAGACACACCGTGAAGGGGGGGTTTCAAACGCAGGTCCGTGGAAAGAACAGAGGTCGCAATGAAGCTGGTGGTCTTCCTCCTCCTCTTCCTCCAGCAGTCCGGGTCTGCGGACTGCAGGTGCTTCTGTCAGGTGAGCCGCTGTCACTGTACAGGGACAGTAAACCTCCTCTTTGTGTTTATTCTGCTTGTGTTCATATTATTATTAATACATTCAGTGGAACTTAAAGAAGTAAAGTACGTTAGGAAAACACCAACCTTACTCTCCTCTCTTCATCAGCTGCTTTTACTTAAAGTATGGGAGGATAAAGTTCTCATAGTGCAGCGAAAAGGTAAAACTTTACACTGTTGGGAACTCATATTCTGTAAGCTGTCAGACAAATGTAATGGAGTAAAAAGGACAATATTTGCCTCTGAGATGTAGAAGTGGAGTATAGGTTCTGAGCTGTATAAGCAGAAGTACACATATTCTTCACTCAAGATGCAAAAAGAATAGTAAGAATAATCAATAAATCCCCCTCCAAATGCATTAAAACTAAAGTAACAAGCCTGTTTTAGACATGCAAAGGAGTGGAAGATATTTATCTAAGTACCATAATGAAGTATTTGTACTTTTACTTGTTTCTTCCCACCTCTGAGTATAAGTACGTGTAGTTGAAGGGATGTATGATTTACTCAGCCACAGAGGAGTTTCCCTCCAGCAGTAATATGATTAATATCACATTAATGCAATAAAGTTTCATTTTACTGCTCTAGATTCTCCTTTTAACTTTATACAGAATTAGAATCACTGAATTTGTCAAAAAAAAAAGTCTGTATGACGGTTAAAAATATAAAGATTGCGTAATACAGACAATAAATTGTCAGGAAAACTCATCTGTGATGCAACATTCACAGGAAATACTCTGCTCATAAGATAATCATCCAGATAACTCGTTTTAACTTCCTGCAGTTATTGTGTTCACAGTTTATGTTCTGTACTGTTATTGTGCAATCGGAAATAATATAAAATATTCATAAAATAAGTCATTTAGGGGTCGGAACAGTGTGAACAACTGTGATCTGAAAACTAACTATAGCTGTTAGACGATTGTAGTGGACTAACAGCCTCTTCTGGAGTAGAACTATAAGTTTTGCATAAATTGGAAATACTCAAATATTTTGTTTGTTTGTTTGTTTGTTTGTTTATTAAGTTCCCCCATTCGCTTCTGAATAACAGCAGGTGTTCTTCCTGGAGTCCACACAGTTTCCACAGTGACAATACTATACAAACATACACACACACACACACACACACACACACACACACACTGCGATATAGGTATACTGTAAAGAAAACAATACGAATTGATGCAATTTAAACAAGACAAACACACAAAATAGAAATAAATAAATAAAATAAAACTGAAATAAATAGGCCAGCTCTGAATGAATATATCAAATATCTTTATTTCTGCCTGTGGAACTCTTACACCCCGAAGAATACTTATTGATATAAGTATATAACATGATATGTAATTTTGTTGTGTGATAAGATTTGAGAGCATTGCTCTGTATGTTACTGTACGATGAACTGATAACAGTTATGGAACTTTAAAATAACAATACTTGAGTAAAAGTACTTCCCACTGCTGCCAATACTTCACTTACATGATGGATTTTTCTCAGCACTTTGCTACCAGACAGCTCTTAACTGAGCTCAGTGTTTCTGAGACACACACAGAAGATAATCAGCTGTTTGTGTGTTTCCTGTCTGACGAAGGTCACAGGAGACCTGGACGACTGCACCTGTGACGTGGAGACCGTCGATGACTTTAACAACAACCAGCTCTTCCCCAAACTTCAAACTCTGCTGGAGTCGGACTATTTCAGGTTCTACAAGGTAACGGATGGACAGCACACACACACACACACACACACACACACACACACACACACACACACACACACACACACACACACACAGTAACCGGACTTGTGTTGGGACTTGATCCTCCGCAGGTGAACCTGAATAAGCCGTGTCCGTTCTGGACGTCCATCAGTCACTGTGGTCTGAGGGACTGCGCTGTGAAGCCCTGCTCTCCTGTGAGTTCCTCCTCTCGTCTGTCTGCTGCAAACAGACCGATCTGTAGGGCTCGAAGAAGTACTCAACTACAAATACTCTGTAACAAGTAAAAGTCCTGCATTCAGAATTGTATTTAAAGGAGAAAAGTATTGGCATTAAGATATACTTAAAGTACAACAAGTAAAACGACTCATTATGCAGAGTTTCAGAAGAATGTATATTATATTATTAGATTATAATTATTGATGCATTAATGTGTTCATCACTCTAAGGTTGCAGCTGGTAAAGCTGGAGATAATTTTAATTACTTCATATATTGGTGGTAAATTCTCCCACCGGCGATCAATACAGTTTTATCTTAATCTACAAAATTACATCATCATTTATTTGTTGATTATATTTTATAACATTAATCTGAAGCTGTCAAATAAATATAGTGAAGTAAAAAAAAAAAAAATACAGTATTTGCCTCTGAATTATAGTACAGTACTTGAGTAAATGTACTTAGTTACTTTCCACCAGTAATAATCACCCTTATTGACACCGGACTGACCAAAACTCTCTCTGCTCACAGAACGAGGTGCCAGAAGGGATCCGATCGTCCTCCCACAACAAGGTGAGTCCCCAAACACACCGACAACGTGGACTCTCTCTGAGCTCTGTGTTCGTATTTTAAAAATCATAGTAATGAGAATTAAAATAAATATTATTTTTAGCCCAAACTTTCCAAAGGTTTAAATTCGTGAGCTGGGAGACAGTTTGGAATTGTTTGATTTGTAACAAATAGCTGATTTTGGTGGTGTTGTAATACATTTTGGTGGAAATGGTGGGGTTGCTATCCAAACTTTGGGGATTTATAAAAGGAGGCAACACATTTGTGGGGATTGTACAAAAAATTAAATGGATAAAGAAAGTTAATGAGAGATATTTTTATTAAAATACAAATAAAAACAGTAAAGAACAAATGGTGGAATTTAAAGGCTTTGTGGTAAAGGTATTACATTGCTATAATGCTATAATAATTGCTATAAATAAGGGTTTTAGGGTCCTTTAACACATTTTTGGGATTATATAAAAGTAGTGCCTCAACAAATTTAGGGATTATAACTGTAACAATTCCTGAGAGTTGTTTGTCAGAACTGATTTAGAGGTGAAAACTTAACTAATGTGAAGACATATGCATCAAATTTTGGGTTTGTAAAAAGGTTTGTAATCATTTTATCACCACATTAATACATCACATCATCAGCATATCCATATTCTACCACAGTGTGTTCACGCTTTCTTTTATCAGTGCAGCTTCAGCTTGATTTTACTCAACTGCAGCAATATAGCACATATACAGGGTTTGACTTACATTGTGGCTTTCAGGAGAGCCCTATTTTATTAGGGGGTGGGTGGTGAGAGTTTAGGGTATGAGCATAATAATAAAATATACTATCAGTACATTTCAGTTCATACAGAGAATATTTAGTCTGTGACAACAAAGGAACAGAAACATTATTCACTGTAGTAAGTTATTAAGTTATAATAGCCTAATAAGAAAGTGCATTGAGTATGCCTACAGAGCTAATTTTAATCTGTAAATGTGTGTGTGTGTCTGTGTGTGTGTGTGTGTGTGTGTGTGTGTGTGTGTGTGTTCAGTATTCAGCAGAAGCAAATGAGGAGCAGGTTGATTGTGAGCAGGCGAAGCATCTCGGGGCTGTGGATGTTTCTTTAAGGTGAGTCCCGTCAGTCTAGTTGATAAAAGTTCACTGCGCAAACAGTAAGAACAATACACACATTAACACTAGAAATACAGGGTCAGATACAGTTCACGTGTCATAGTATCACCACAGAATATGTAGAGTGTGTCTCAGCACCTTTTAAGGGAGTCGTGGTTGCAGCTGGAATCAGTTCAGACTCAGAGTACAAAACAACTGCGTCATCTTACAGTTTTAACCTCCTGCGTGACCTCTGACTTGCTCTGCTTTCACTTCTAGCAAGGAGACCAGAGAGGCTCTGCTCAACTGGAGCAAACATGACGACGAGGCCGAACGCTTCTGCCTGGTTGACGGTAATATGTGATCGATCAGCTGAGCAAATGATTGAAAGAACAAACTTTCCAAACTTTTATGTATTTTGATCACTGCCACCACTTCAGCACACTTTAGATATAAAAGTACAGGCAAGAACAAATGAAAAACTCTTGGCACAGAACTGTTTATTGACACAAGGCAAACTCTTGGCACAGAACTGTTTATTGACACAAGGCATCCTCCTTTCATTTTAATGTATTCCCAGAAGGTTTTTAAGTTGGGGAACACGATGGTAAAACTGCACCATGTTTTAATGAACATAATGGAAAGACTTATTTTGAATATAATATTTGATATATATATTTACTTTAAAAATAAATGGGAAGATGGATCATTTTGTGGGGTGATGTGCTGGTACAAATGCGTAATATTTTAGGGAACATAAAGAATCAAAAATGAAACATAAAAACATAAGAACATAGGGAACATAAATGAAGGCGTATATGATTTTTTTTAAGGGAATGTGATGATAAAATACATACATTTTTAGGTAATGTGAAGATAAAATGAATAAAGTTTTAGGGAACACAATGTTCATAGTTTACATTTTTAGGGAATATAATTAAAAGAATAACATGTTTGGAGGAATATTCTTAGGGAACATATAAATATATTTATCATGGAACATATTTGAAGAAGTATATAATTTTGTTTAAACTTTGAGTTTTGGGCTGCATGTTTGTATGAAAGGAGCAATATAAATAAAGCTGAGTTTGCTTTAGGGGAACATGATAAAATGTTTTTGGAAATATAAACGGAAAGAATACATTAACTATTAGGGAATGTTAAGATAAAATGCAGCTTATTTTAAGGAAAACAATGTTACGAATTTATAATTTCTGACATAACAGAGGATAAAACATGTAAGGAATGAAAATATATATATCTAACAAGAAATAAAGTATGATTTTTAGGATATAAATGGTCCATTACTACCCAAGTAGATCTTGTATTCTGAATAAAGCACACTCTCCCACCCTGCTGCCTTTATAGCTGACACAAAGATGTTCTTATAGTGACTTACAGCTGACTAAAGGCTTTCTGTTTCGCAGACGAGGGGTCACCAGACTCCCAGTATGTCGACCTGCTGCTGAACCCGGAGCGCTTCACGGGATACAGAGGACCGGAAGCCTGGCAGATCTGGAACAGCATCTATGAGGAGAACTGCTTCAAGTAAACACTCACAATCTAAAACACCACCTTTAAATTTGGACTTACACGAGGAACTTCCACCATTTAACACAGTTGAAACATGAGTCAGCTAATATGCCCAAACCTTTGTTTTTAACTGGTTATAAAACAGTCTCAATTGAATACTGATGCCTTTATATGACCTACATAAACACACAAGACCATGAGCGAGAAGATTGGCTATATACTGTAGTTATTCTTAATGCCTGCTACTCGGATTCCCCTTGAAATCAATGAAACACTTGAATACTTGTTGCTGCTTTAACCAGAAGGTGGAGCTAGATGACGAAACAGGAGAACACTGAAGTTCTCACAATTCATCCTGAGGGGAACATAAATGTCTGAAAGCGATCAATCCAGTATTTATTGAGACATTTCACTACCTAGAACCTAAAATGTTGATCTGCTGGTGGCCCTAAAGGAACGTTTGTGGATCATCAAAGTCACCAGGATTTATCTTCTGAGAACCATTAATGTCTGCACAATATTTAATGGCAGTCCATCCAATAGTTGTCAAGATATTTATGCTTCAGATAAAAGTGTAGTGTGTAAGCTACTGCTGTTACTGGGGATGGTCCAACACATAATTACCTGCTTCTCATGGCCGATACCGATAAGATAACCAATGATTTAATTTAATAATTTGTAGTTTATGCACACCAGAGGGTTAGAAAGGCTTATATGTATGTATGATGATTTAATAATCCATAGCTCTAACCAAATCTGACCGACATCACGATCTTTAACACGACAAAAAACAACAAAAAACTCTTCAAATATTTCACAGAACATAAATTCAATCCAACATTTTACATAAGCGTTCAAAATAAAATATCATTACTGACCGATAATTTATCAGCTATAATACATTATAAAATGTTTTATCACCCTCGATATATAACGTGCATCCTTCATTTTACTGCTTATCTTTATCTCCAATCTGAGAAATGTTGGAAACTGATAAATGAAGCAGAAGTGTGTGTTTGTACTCTAAAACTGATCCCTCTTTACTGTTCCCTCACAGGCCGTATACAGTCAGGCGTCCACTTGTTCCCAACTCGTTCCACAGCAGCTCAGGAAGTGAAGGTAAGAGGTATTTTCTGTTACACCGCACCATGATTCACTTCATCTGGACTATCAACATCATCTGCTTCATTTATTACAGCAAAGACCTTCTACAGCTGGCTGGAAGGTAAGCTGATGTTTCACCTGAAGATGATTGATCCAGAGGACTGCTGTGTTGTCTTTGTCCAGTATTTTATCAACTCTCTCGGTTTGTGTCTGTCTCAGGTCAGTGTGTGGAGAAGAGGGCTTTCTACCGGCTCATCTCTGGCCTCCATTCCAGCATCAACATCCACCTGAGTGCCAGATACCTCTTGGATGGTGAGACACACTATACCCCCCCCATCTCGATACAGTGACCGTCCTCTGTTTGTGTTTACTCCTCTCTCTTCCTTCCTTCAGACAGCTGGTTTCAGAAGAAGTGGGGTCACAACGTGTCTGAGTTCAGGCAGCGCTTTGATTCGGAGCTGACGGCCGGCGAGGGGCCCAAGAGGCTCCGCAACCTCTACTTCCTGTACCTGATTGAGCTGCGAGCGCTGGCCAAAGTTCTGCCGTTCTTCCAGCAGCCGTCCTTCCGGCTGTACACCGGCAGACCCGAGGAGGACCAGAAACACAAAGAGCTGCTGCTGCACATCCTGCAGCTGGCCAGGTCAGTGCTCTCCGTCCAGTGTTCATTACTACAGGGCTATTTTCCTGTAAATGTACCATCAGTTTATATAATTTCATATATGTAAAGCATTTATTTTTATATTTTGATATATATATATATATATTTAAACTTTTTTCACTCATAAAATTGATTTCCGAACGTTTTCTTATTAGTTTTGCAAGAAAATATCCTGTTTTATATATTTTATACATATTATTATTTTGGTTATAGTTTCCTGTGAAAGCTTTGCTTGATAATTAATTTAAAATGTGCTAGCGATGGAAACAACTTATAAATTATGTAATTTAATGCCATTAAAATGTCTTCACTTCTCATTGGTGTAGTCTCTTGTGCTGTTGTCGTATTTATTGTACAACTGGCTAACTAATTAGTTGTGACTTTCCTCTGCCTCCGTTCTCCAGATCGTTCCCGCTGCACTTCAATGAGACGTCTCTGTTTGCCGGGGATGAAAAGGAAGCAGCCAAACTGAAGGTTGGCCACCGTTTAAAACCCATTTAGTTAGTTTTGTTTATGATCCTTTCAGAAAAACAAAAAAAAATACAACTGAATTTATCAAATGAGCAGGTCTTTGTGGACATAACAAGACAGTTTAAGTGCATATGATTGAAAAAGGAAACTCTTCTTCTTCTTCTAAACAAGAGAGGGAGAACCAACTAAAGTTCTAGTTCCCCCTCTAATTAAAATATAGTCATTGTCAACCTACCTCACCTGAAACTTTATTACATTTGTACTAAAACTAAGAACACAGCGCGACCTCAAACGCCTCAAACATACTGACATTAATGCTTTTTTTATAGCTACAAAACATACACATAAAATATCCACCAGATTACTTATAAAAAGGCTCAGCATGATCGATATCATAGATTTATGTGCTGTTTCTGTGAGTTGTTGTAGTGTAACATGGAGAAATGAATATTGATTAAGAGAGGGGTAAAGGTGATGCGCGTTTCCTTTGTTATGAACCAGTTTTAACACAATTGACACGAGTGTTTTTTCCCTTTGCTGTGTCAGGAGGACATCAGACTGGCCTTCCTCAACATCTCCAGGATCATGGACTGTGTGGGCTGCTTCAAATGTCGACTGTGGGGGAAACTGCAGGCGAGAACATTTTAACAACAGTTATATTAAATGTGTTCAGTATGGGAAATAGTGTGTGAATATTAAAGGATGCAGTGAAACCTACATATATATAAATAGATATTACAATTGCATTGTGATGTGCTGCTTTGTCTTTCTCCTCTCTCCATCAGACTCAGGGATTAGGAACGTCATTAAAGATTTTGTTTTCAGAGCGACAGATTGAAGCTCTGCCCGCGTCCAGCAACCAGCGACCCAGTTTCCAGCTCAGCCGCCAGGAGATCGTCTCCCTGCTCAACGCCTTCGGAAGGTGAGAGAGAGTCTGTCGGCATCATATGATCATTTATAACATCTGGAAAATAACAGGGCACCATCTCTGCTCCGACTTCTCTCTACAAACAGACAACAAAGGGGTTGCATTTGTTGCACCGGCAGTAGATTATATCCACTCTGGAGTACTTTAACTACCTGAGAAAATATTTGTGTGTTCAGTGGTGGAACAAGTACTCAGACCTTCTTATTAAAGGTTATATATATGGAATTCGCTTTCTCAGACCAAAACAATGAGACAGAAAAAATCAAGTCTTTGTCCCGGGGGTGGGGACCTCCACTAGGGGTCGCCAAAGCTTCACAGAGGGGTCGTGAGGCCTTCTTGATTGTAAGGGGCGTAAGAAAACGTCAGAAATATACACTATAGGCCTATATCTCAGCATTTTGTCTAATTCTGTGAGGAAAACTAAATTAAATTGTTTGCTTAGGTAGAATGTATGATGGTTAAAAAATAAAAAATACACAATACAGACATATAGTTGTATAAACAAGTTCCTTAAACCATCAGAAAACTCCCCTCTGATGTAATTATTAAAGGAAATAATCTGCTCAACGTTCATCTAAATCGCTCATCGTGTTCATTTTTTGGGTTCATTGCACAGTTTATTAGTTGTTCTGTCCTGTAAAAATCCATAAAATGTCACTTAGTGAGTCGTCAGTTTACTCAATGATATAAAAGAGGTCTCTTAAGATAAAAAGTTGTGCTCCAGGCTCCAAAAATCAGGATTTACAAAGAGAGAACAATTAAAAAATACTTAAATAAATAACCACTTGAATAAAAAGGGTAAACATGCAGGTAAAAAAAAGAAAGATTATGCCATAGCTTCCAGAATAAAGCTTTGTTCTACATCTTGGGACTATAAACCTCCGTCCAGGGTCATCATTTAAACACATTTTAACACTCAAAAAAATTAAAATAAGCCAAAGTTCACCTAAATACTACAGGATATAAAATGAAAACCAAATATTTTTTACGTTTCTGTTCCTTTTTTCTCTGTCTAACACTCCACGTCTCCTCCTAAAAAAATGTCCCACAGGATTTCCACGAGCATCAGAGAGCTGAAGAACTTCAGAGCGCTGCTGGCGGAGGAGCGGTGACGCCACTGAGACACGTTGTCCAATCGACTCTTCTGCCTTAAGTCCTGCTGAAATATCACGTCACAGACCAACATCAGAGAGTTTAAATCCTTTCCTCTAGAATTAAAAATGAAACAAGAATATGTGCCTTCTATTACTGATGTGGAGTGAAACTGTAAAAACCTCAGCTGTGAGGAGAGACTGAGGAGTGTAACCTGCTTTAATGTCATGTTTTTTAGAAGAAGGATCAAGAATTCAAACCACTTCATGTGAAAACTGTAAAACTGTCTGCTGCTTTGCATAATCAAACATATTTCTGTACTGGGGCCAGTTGTACAGTGTTTTTGTAATGGCGTGCCTGCGTCCTGAGGATGGCGCTGTTTGTAAAGGAAGCTGATTTATACTGCTACATGCAAAAAAATGTTCTAGCTTTTGAAAGTCATTATTTCATGTAAACAAGAAAAAAATATGCAGGTTGTTAAAGTAAAAGTGTATTGGAATTAAATTAATATATTTTTTAGATATATATTGTTTTTATTATTTTCTTCTATCGCTATCAGAGGCTTTCATAAGACCATGGCCTATTGCTTAACCTGTGTGTGTGTGTGTGTGTGTGTGTGAGTACATTAACCCACCCTATCAGTGGGTCTGGGGGTCAATGGTGCCTTCAGGTACAGTTTGAGAACTCAAAACATCCATGTTCAGAGTGTTTGTTGTTACAAATAATGCTTATATTGGACCTTGTTTGTGGTAAATTTTAGGAATCCGTCAGCAACAATCACAAAACATTATTAAAATGATTTTGACACAGATATACCGCTGCGTGTGTGTGCGTTTATATCATATTATATCATATTATATTATATTATATCATATTATATTATATTATATTATATTATATTATATTATATTATATTATATTATATCATATTATATTATATTTATCATATTATATTATATCATATTATATTATATTATATTATATTATATCATATTTATTATATCATATTATATTATATTATATCATATTATATTATATTATATTTATCATATATTATATTATATCATATCATATTATATCATATTATATTATATTATATTATATCATATTATATTATATTATATTATATTATATTATATCATATTATATTATATTATATTATATCATATTATATTATATTATATTATATTATATTATATTATATCATATCATATTATATTATATTATATTATATCATATTATATTAGCCTATATTATATCATATTATATTACATTGTATCATATTATATGCATTCAGCTGACTCATCACACAGTGTTTGTGTGTGGATGTTTTTGCAGAGCTGCAGTGGCGGTTTTTCCGACAGTCCTTTAACGCAGCATAAAGCCGTGCAGCAGGCAGTGAAGGGTTAAACTGTGTAATAGGATGAATGGATATTGTGGTGAGCAGCATCTGATTACACAGAGACGCCAGTAGGCATCGGAGGGAGGGAAGACACTTATTATCTAACAGCTAAAACAATTCAACCTCCCTCCTCTGCAGTCCTGAAGAAAACAATTTACTCTTCATCACATTAATCAGGAAATACAACTTTTATTCTTTTTAAAAAACCGAGGAGAGAGCAGGAACAACACCGAGCAGAGAAGAGGAGGAGGAGGAGGAGGAGGGCTTCGGGTCGGATACATGGCTGAGGGGGACCGACGGGTGACTGCGGAGGAAACTTGCAAGATGTCGCAGTTCGCGGAGGCTTAAAAAGGAGGACTATTTTTCTGAAGGAAGGGTTGAATCTGTCTGTCGGTACAGGAGAGAGAGAGACAGTCGGACAGAGCTCCAGGAAGATCTGTTTTTAGGGGTTTGTTCCTCCAGGTCGGAGAGAAACAGGTAAGAGAGCTCACCTGTGTGCAGCCAGCACATGTTCATGTTCTCTGTTGCTCTCAGGATTTATTATTTAGTGCTTTTCTGTTTCATTTAAAGCCACCAAACTCTCTTAAACACTGTTTTTTATATATTATTGTAACGTTACAGGCTCAAAAAGTATCAATTATAGTAACATTTAGAATAATATTGATAAGTTTATATCTAATAAGGTAATACTTAGTTAGATTGCCATTAACCTGCTCTGGAAATCTTGTATTATTATTATTATTATTATTATTATTATTATTATTATTATCTTTTAAAGGTCCAGTGTGTAATATTTATTAGGATCTATTGGCAGAAATTGAATAAAATAATAAATAGGTATGTTTTTAATAGTGTAAAATCTCATTTATATATGAATTGTTGTGTTTTCGTTAACTTAGAAACAGCTTTTTATCTACAAACACAGCGGGTCGCTTTGTATGGAGTCCGCCAAGTTTCTACAGTAGCCCAGAATGGACAAACCAAACACTGGCTGTAGGATTTTAAAGCTGTGATAAGTGATTTCTGACCAGTAGGGGGCAGAAAAACCCCCAAAACAGCCCTTACACACCGTGTCAAGTTGTTATGGCTAACACATCCTTATCATCCCCTTACTTTGTCCATAACCTTTTTCACAGCGGGTATTTTGACTTTCTGTAGTAGGAAAAAGCACAATTGCTACTAATAAAGATAATATCAGCATCTAACGTTGGCGTGCTTTAAAGACGCAGATTCTGGGCTATTGTAGAAGACATAAACTAAATGTTCCACACTGTTTTTAAGTTTATAACATTTATAGTAGTCAGTCTCCTTTTGTCCAGCAGACACAGAACAACATTATCACCCCATTATAGTTGTGTTTGTGTCCAATATTAACCCTCCTTTAAGCTCTATTTTGGTCTCCACCAGCTAAGAAAATGCGTCTTTTGAGCAGCTATATGTTTCCTCCACCAGTGAGTCACTTAATTTGTCATTGTTGACAGCATACAGTTGACTTCTGTGTTTATTTGCATCCACACAACACACAAATCGACTGTATGGAAATTTGAATAGTAAAAAAAAACAGGTTACAACAAAACAAAGGAATTATGCAACAACAACAGAGGCTCCCTTTGTGGGAAATCACATCAAATTCCCGGAGTAGAATAAGTTAAAAGAACAATCATCTGTGCGAGTTGTGTAAAAACGCGGGTCAAAGCTGAGGATTGTTCCTGTTTTGGAAGGTGTGAATGATGCTACATGTGTCGATACAATAGTTAAAAACATAAGGAAGTGTGGTTTTTAGATATAAAAATAAAAAAAGTAGCCTTTCTCTATAACTTGGTGTTACATGGTTCAACAGTATTGTATAAAAAAATGCTGTGTGATGGAAGTTTATGCTTTTAAGTCACCAAAAAGGATTTGATTTGCCACTTTTCCTCATAAAAGTCGGAGTCCTTCTGATGTGTCCTAGGGTCATGTTTTTGGTTTCAGCATAATTATGGTAACTTAATGTAATTTCCAGAAAGCATTTGTAGGTTTTTGAAGTCGTAACATTTCCCATGACTCTTTGGCAAAGCAGGCATTTTACAGACCTCAAACCATGAGAACGAGTTAGCATTGTGAATCTGCCACCTCGCTTTCTGTGAGCGCTGAGTGGACATTAAAGTCAAATCCTACCAGTGCAGTGGTTTGTTGTTCCGATAGAAATCCATGTGTGGGAGTTTAGGAGTCCCTGCTGAATGGAGGGGCGGGGCAGGCAGGTAGAAACTTTACCCCCCCCACCCACCGCTTTAGGCTTCAAATCCTGCCAAGCAAGTGGAATTTCATGGAAACATGAAATATGTCAACGCCGAACGTTAACTCCCTCCCGGTGTGTCAGCTCTCTTCTGGTTGGCTCGCTTATCTGCTCGTGCTTTTTTTAAAATTAAACTCAAGAAAGTGACACCAGGGGGTCAAAAACAGGAGAGTGCAGGTCATCCCGGGACAGTAGGATTATTCTATAACTTAACTTATTTGTGCTGTGGCCAGGTGGCAACTCACCTCTCTGCCTTTTCTGTCTTTATTTCATTATTTTTATCTTCAAACACAGCTCATAGGAGTAGTCACCTTTTTAACAAATTAAGCTGCATGTGAGTTCCCCATCTGAATTTTCTGTTTTATGATAATCTGTTAGCTAATTATTAACTGAAAAGAGGTCCTGAAAGTAGGGATGGGAATGGAGAACCGATTCCAGTTGAGTACCGGTATCAAACATCCATCAGAATCGTACGCCTCAGAGCTTATTACTACTTTTTAATCAGTGCTTTTCCTCACGGTCGAGCATTGCCAAACATTCGTCTACGCTGCTTCAGACTTGCATGAAGAAGTAGTCCTGGTGGAGAGGAAGAAACAAAGAGCGATGTCAGCAGAGCTAGTCGTATTGATCATCACAAGGGGTGGAAACATCAGCAATGAGCTGAAACATCTTTCTACACAACGTGGGCTTAAGTTCCAGGAAAGCCACGTGTTTAATACGAGTGCCACCGCTTCAGCGGCGTGTCCGACACCGAGGGTCAATATCCTCTGGTATTATAACATTAGCGCCACGCAGGCACACAGAAAGTGTATCAGGAATCAATAAAGGAATCTATAAAGAATCGAACCGATCAGCAGAAATGATAATTCACATCCCTACCTGAAAGATGCAAAGAACTTTTTTATAAAGTTAATTTATAAAAAAACATCATAATCAAAGTATAAAGAACTAGAATGAAAAGAATAAGAAATTTAACCTGCCACGTATTTCCCTTTTAAATTTACATTCAGAGCAATGATATGAAGTGACTTATAAGTGGCTTATTTTTTACATGTTTAAACAGGGCTGCACCTAGTGATTATTTTCATTACTAACAAACCTGCTGATTATGTTCTTGATTAATAGATTGCTCTATAAAACTTCAGAAAATCATAATTTCCAAGAAGCCAAGATGACGATTTCAAATAGCTTTTTTTATTGTTCTAAAGAAAAGGCAACAAATCCTCACATTTGAGAAGCTGTAACCATCAAATGTTTGACATTTGAACTCAAAATAGCTGCTGATTCATTTGTTGACTGACTAATCACTTCAGCATCACTTATTAAGAAACCAGCGCTCAGAAACATCGCAATAAAAACTGTATTTTGCCAGACAATATAAGTCCTGGGTTTTTCTGTGTTGCCCTTTCTCGACAGCGCGGCTTAAAGCAGCCGGCGTGGAGTCAAATGTGAACAGCAGGGGAAGCAGGTTTTGGGTTAATCTTTGGCAGCGTTGCCTGCGACGTGCAGCAGATTGTGCCAAGCCGGGCCCAGCCAGCGTCCCGCCTGCAGGAGCTGCAGAGCTCGGCTGCAGAGCTGGGGGAGCTGGCACGGAGGCGGTTCTGGCCCAACGTGGCTCCAGTGATGTGGTTATGGTTAGAGATGAGCTGGGAGAGCAGCTGTGTGTGTGTGTGGGAACAAGGCTGAGTTGTCCTTTTCTTTCAGTCTCTGCACTGATGCACTCCGCCTCTCTGTGATCTGCTTTCGTTTTTGTCTTCTGTCCTCGCCTCGCCTCGCCTCGCCTCCACCAGAGACCTGTCAGTTAGACACAGAGCCCGTCAGCGCGTTACGGGAGTGAGATCAGCACATGAGTGGGAGTGTGAAATGTTGATTTAACTGCTGAAGACCTGCGATTACACGTGATTCACAGCTTAGAGATCCTGACGAGATCAAATGTCGCTACATTGTTTCATGAAAATGAAAATGTTTTCAATAACGTGATACTTCAGGGACAATTATGTGCTTTCACGGGATGAGAAAGGATCTTTAATTACAGGATGTCTGCAGGTTGCGTGTGTAGGATTTAGTGGCATCTAGCAGTGTAGCTCCATATTGAAACTCCCTCGCTTCACCCTCCTGAGGTTTGTCCGTTCTGGGCTACTGTAGAAACATGGCGGTCTCCATGGAAGGCAACCTGCGGGTCAGTTGATTAAACACTAATGAAAACATACCTATGCATTTAAAGGTACTGGGGGAAACAAATTGCAGTGTAGGATCAATAAAGTCTCTCTTATCTTATTATAATTCTACCAATAGATCCTGTAAATGTTACGCACTGGACCTTTTTAAAAGTCTAATATCCAATAATCTGAATTTTAGGCCTTAAAATGTCTTAAAAATGTATTTTTTTAATTATGTTTTTCAGTCCTGTTTGTTTGTACTTTTTTTGCCAGTATGGATGTAAAAGGGTCTTTAAAAAGTCTTAAATTTCACCTGTTGAAACACTGTCACTATAGGATATGATGACCAAGGAGATAAAGGTGTTCAAAAATCACTTTTATGTATCAAAGATCATCCAGCTGTATCAGGATACTGCGACAACCAGTATCTCAGTGGAAACGGATATTTGACCAGGTAGCGTTTCTAGTTGGCAATCTAGAAGTCGGGACCAATATTTTCAATCTTAATCATGACTTGATTCTGTAACTGCTTCCCAAAGTTCATTAAATAAACAAGAAATATACAAATTAAACAGTTTTTATTTAAGGGGTTGGGATTGAACAAAAAGTTTGATTCAAATAGGACGAGCCGCTTTATTTTTAGCAGGTTTACGTAGCGATATAATGAATCACCATCATTTACTAACAATGCCTCCCGCCGTAGGGACTGAACATGAATGATACATGAAGTGAGTGGATGTTCTGCTTTTGGTTTTCTTGGAACAGGCCTGTCTTTGTACCACGCTGCATCCGCCCTCTCACTGTTCTCTAATATCTAACCTCATGTCGTGAAGCAGCTTGTATGTGGTTTTGCATTATTTGATGCCATGTTCAAACTAACCAATTGCATTCATTGTTTGTGTTCTGAGGAAAGAGGGCGAGTCTCTTGGTGAGTGAAACTTAGAAGAGTTATCCAGTCGTCATAATGGGAGGAGGTACTCGGGGAAAGGAGTCTTGCTTTACCAGGAGAATTACATTTTAGTTTTAAATATAAATCTATATGATGTTATGTTTCTATTCTCATCCCAAAGTTTATTTTCATAATGAGGTGGCGGATTTATATTTTTCACAATATGATTTTGAATCATCATGACTTTGTTGTAAATTTCAGACAACAACTGAGATTAAAAAAACCCAGAAGTTTTAGACAAAAGAGGAAGGAATACACCTTTTTCTTTTAATCTGCTTTACTTCCCTGTTGCATTCCAGAGTTAATGTTGATTTGGGTTCATTAGATATGAAAAAGACCAGCTTAAAGGGAAAGTTATAGTGTGTTTTAGTCTCATTTACTACAAAAAGTACAGACTTAAACATTTTTCCATCCCTATCTTCCAAGCAGATATTGATTTTTTTTTTTGAATACAGTGAACTTGCAGAGACTTGACACTTGTGGTGGGTGATTCATCGCAGTGTAATGTGTTAAATTTATCTCATCACTGTGCAGAAATGTAGTAAGTGGAAGCTTTAAAAGCATCACGATACCATGATCCGAACTAGTTTGTAGTAAATGGGCTCATGCATAATAATCACTTTTCTTTTTAAAACCTGACACTCCCTTCCCAACTCATTGCCCAGGCAGGTAATTTTAGAGGTGTGAGCTAACTGTTTTGACCTCCTCTCGTGGGGGCCGCTGCTCTCTGGCTGTTTCATTAGCCCTCCACTACAGGCTCCATGTGTGGCATTTCACCACAGCTCCCAGAATGTGCCACCTTCAAGCCACCACCGAGCCATATAACGGGCGGCTCGTCCTGCCCGGTCTGTTGGTCTGCAGGGGGATCTAACCGCATGCTTCACCGCTGGCTAACAAACCTCTCTCTGTTTCCCCTTTTTGCTGTCGCTTCTGCTCCTGAGGGATCTTCTTCTCTCCATCTGTCCCTCTCTGTCTCTCAGGCCCGAGGAGACAAAGGCTGTCTTCTGTTGGACATCTGTCCATCTCTATTTTCATCTCTGATAAGGTAAGTTCTGCTGTCACTCTGGGCTCTGCTCCTCCAACAGTGCCTTCATTGTGTTGGTCCTGTGCAACATGTGGTGTGTGTGTGCTGTTTTTGTTGTATATTTACTGTTCTTAATCATGCTCATTGTGCTCCTGTCATCTAATAACAGTACTGTAACATTTAACACGCTCTACAGTGGCTGCTGCACTGCGATTTCTGCCTGGCAGTTAGATATAATCCTCTCAGTATCTTGATTTGTAATCTTTTTGTAGCCTCGTGAAGCCAGATGATATCTCTTAAGTCCAAAAACATACTTTGAAATTGAGCATGATTAGATTTGTATCAGACCAATGAAGTAAGAGAGGATTTCCAATGTCATTACAAGGCTCACTGCCTATCAAAACAGCATCAAACTCCATGTAAAATAAGGCACTACCTATTTCTTACCTCACATTCAGGGATGCTGGAAGTCAGTCAGAGTCGGGGGTTCTGAGAGAAAGTCTGCCTGTATAATGAGCTCATGGTTTTAGCATTTTATACCAATTTCAATACTTTTTAGTGGATAAAACTGATAAGAAAACGAGGCAAAACCTCTTTCCTGCCATACGTGCCACTGTATAAATGTAAATCCCAGTTAAAAAAAGGAGAAAGTCATAAGTTTAAACATTTTTATGAACTAATGGCTCTTATTATGCCAGATTTTAGGTGGTGCTGCACCTCAGCACTCCTGCTTCCAGCGCACATGATTATTTATCTATAATCTTGGAAGACTTGATGTTCTCAGAGTTTGGAAATCAGAAGCAGAAGCAGCGACTCCTTGGGTTGTCTGGTTTTGTCCAGTTCAGATGCAGGATGGGTTCATGTTGTCTGAGTGGGGACGAGTCAACCACCTACTTTTCCAGCCTTTTCTTCCAAAGACATCTGTCTCAAGCAGATGTCTCTTAAACCAGATCACAATGAGCAAAGTGAAACTGTTGCATGCTGGCAGTGCGTACCCAAATTCTGGGTTCATGAGCAAACTGCCGTGTCGATAGCCTCAATGCATAAAGGCGTAAAGGTCAAACAAACATTAAGACATTGTCTCTCAGTATTAGTCGTTTCTAATGTCATGTGATTGGACCGTGACAAACGATTCAGTCTTTATAATCAGTATGCCGTGTGATTGTTCTGCAGCCTTCACATTTCTGACTTTACTTCCGTGAAATTCTAAGTAGAACAGGTTTTAGTGATATGTGTAATTTAGGTCTTATCTACTCCCACCGTGACTCAACCTGTAGATCTGCCTAGATACCGTTCAACAAATGGAAAGTATCAGATGACACCGTCACAGTTTAGTATAGATACATGATATGAATGATAACAAGCTATTTATCCCTCCTTTGGTGCAAAAGGTGCAAATTTCCATTCTCAAGTTTTTTCTTAGAGGTTTACATTATTAAAATGTAATGCACCTTTTTTTTTTTACAAGCTGTTGAACTCGGTTGGATAACATATTCCAAATACCTCAGTTGGGCATAAACCTCAATTTAAAGGTACAGTGGGACAATGTTTAATCTCAGTACCTGCTTGTATTAATCACCTGCTCTCTCCCTCTTAGACTCGCCAGCTTAACCAGTGACCCTGTTAACTGGTGACTTTTAGCCGATTCGTTAAAACCAAAACACTGGCGAGTCGCGGTCACAGCTGTGGCGAATCGAGATAATTAGCGGACCAGTCAGGGCTGATGTTTCCAGTTTATCCAGAGCCAGTGAGACGGAGGCTACGAGACTTTCTCCTGTGTGGTACAGTATTGTTGTCCAGGGCTGGACACCGCTGCTGCTGTGTAGAGTCTCTCCAGCCTCGCCTCGTCGGTCTGGGACACTTTAATGTGGTAAAAAACAAATGGTGAACCTGACGTGATGATGTGAGGTCACGTGGTTGTGGTTGTTTCATTATTATTAGTTATCATGAACTATGTACTTCCATTTACTTGTTGAGTGTTTCTGCGCTGTGGTAATGCTGGAAGAGTCTGTCTTCCACCACTCCTTACAGTCTTCACTCTTCACTCAGCATGTGTGTGCTAACTTGACAGTTGTGGTGACGCTGGGGGCGGGAAGAGCAGTGAGAATCAAGTCCTGTTGGCATTTTAGTGCAGCTTCAGCTACAACTAACAGCCACACACAGCGGTAGGTAGTAACGTGGAAACAAGGCTAATAAAACAGCTTGTGGGCAAGCTCATCCAAGAGGTGAATGGTTCCCATACACTACATTTACAGACTTTTTTGGATGGATTTTAGTCCCCAGTTTTCCTCAGTTGCGATTTCAAGGGACAGATAGTTGTTCGTCAAAACAAAGCTCGATGGTGGCTTTCAGAGTAACCCATAATGTGCTTTATTCTTGCCAGCAGCAGTCATCATAGTGAGCGCGGTTATCATTTTCTTTCTTTAAACAGGGGAGTCTCTCATTTCGGAAAGAGGCACAGCAGTGCTCTGGTACACAGCTGTTTCTCAGGGCTCTGATATAAAGCCAGCTGTTGGCAGAATAACAGCAGCTGGAGCAAAAAAGAAAAGTATCATGCTTCTGTTTATAGATGTTTGAAGCCTCCAGGCCCTGATGTGTACCCACATAGTCTCACAAACCCTGCTGGAATGCAGACGTACTGTAGCAGAGGAGCTTAGAGGCTAATGCTCGCGCCGGCCTCCATGTGCTCGATACGTACAAGCATATAGACCGAGTTTGGCTGCAGGGAAACTGTTGGTGTACACATTAATCAGATTAATGAGCGTGAGTTTTCCAGTGGAGCTTATGAGGTCTGGACCTGCCTCTCTATTCGTCACTCCCTGCCCCCCACCTCCTCCTCCTCTTCACTGGCCTGACCCATTTCTCTATAAACCAACAACCGGAATCTCCTCCTGTCTCGCCATGATAGTCTCTCTCTCTCTCTCTCTCTCTCTCTCTCTCTCTCTCTCTCTCTCTCTCTCTCTCTCTCTCTCTCTCTCTCTCTCTCTCTCTACTATCACCCACCTCTTTAGCAGGCCTGTATTAGCTGCAGATATATCAGTATTGTGTATTTAAATAACATGATAAACAGAATTTCTGATCCTCTTTGTGCTTGTGGACTGAGTTTTATGATTGTTTAATTGTGTTTTAATGAAACAAAGACATAAATAGTGAAGTAAATTGCATTGAATGAGAAATCAGCTTGTGTTCATTCCACATATTTATTGTCATTTAACTGACGGTAGAATCCAGCCAATAGTGTGGCGTTTGCTGTGGTAGTTTGGGCTACAGATGCACAGCTGTACCACTGATTTGCAGCCGTAAATGTCTTTAAAAGATGTCTTAACTTAACAAAATCTTTTTTATTTTGCAAGCAGAACACGGATGATAAATGCAACGTCAACATTTAAAGAAACTCTTTGACTAAACATCTATCTTTTGAATGTGAAGTCTTTCTGTGGGCTTGAAAGGTGGTTGTGAACGGTTTGTAGCTTGTCAACTTGGATTCACAAGTAATGCCCCCCCCCCCGAGGCATGAAAAAGGAAAAGCATCAAAACTTCTCAAACCGCTCATGCAATATATTCAACTTCTTTGACCTTGAACTGTATGTTGCCAAATAAATCCTTGCTTCATCAATAAACTGCTAAATATGCTTCTACCGGGGGAGCTTATGACACAAGTAATGCATTTATTAGTGTGTAGAATATAAACATCTAGTAAAAATGGACAGAAAAAAAGCAGTTTAAGAAGTCTCTATGGATGTTTTGATTAGGGCTGCGCGGTGAATCGAAATATTACTCCTATCACAATATGCAAATTGCAAAAGCTATAATGAGTTTAACAACAAAATATGATAAAACAGTATTATAATTTCTGTAGTTTTGAAGAGATACCCTGGCCGTCACATCTTGTTCTACAGATGTAAGAAAACATGTCTGGTACAGTTTCATATTATCCTTATATATTTTTAAACATTTTATTTAAGTGAAATTTTAATTTATGATGCAAAGTCCTTCGCAATATCCGTCAAAATAATCTAAATATGCTTTTACCATATCGTGTCACTCTAGTTTTAATACTCACATTCTTTGTAATTGCTGTGAGTCCAAGCTGAGATCTCCTGACTTTTTATCTAATGCCACCATCAGGTCAAAATCATACATACATTCCCTTCAGCCTCAGTTGTACTTTGTTTTTTAGTGCCAGCAACAATAAGTGCTGATATAAAGGTAGATTAAAGAGTTCACATTTCTGTAATTCAAGTTTTTAGTCAACTTTTTTCATCATCTTTGTTGCGGCTGGCAGTTTTCTGGCAAAAATAGAAGATTTTCAAGCTCTGATTGTTGTTTTTCCAACTGATGGAAGACGGAAAAACTGTAAATGTGAGCAGTGATCGGAGGTCAAACAAGTGTGTTTGATACTGAAAAGACAGACCGTTCCTTTAAAATACAGGCCCACATAATAGAATGACTGGTGTTTGTGGTCAGACAGCCACACCTCAGTACACAGGCACAAAGAAAAGTAGAGGTGTAGAATTCTGCTGTTACTGTCATTTGATATGTGATTTATTTACGTGTATTTTTTTGTACACACATCCGCTTCTCCTTCATTTATACGAGCTTGACAAACCAGCTCCACATGGCCTTTTAAAGCTGTGTTTTGTTGCTGTGTGACAGAAACCACATCAGAATAAGTTGCTTGTGTGTTGTTGACCTCCTCCTCCTCTTCCTCACAGCTCCAAAACTTCCCGTCTCTAGTTTACATTTCTTTTCCACACACAAGTGCTGAGCGGCACTGATTTCCTCCTGTCTTTCGGCCTTCTCGTTGTCTCGTACCTTCCATTACTTTTGCCATCTTTCAACGGCCCTCCTGTTCTCTGTCGGTCAGGCCTGACAGCCTGCTGCCCCGTCTTGGATCAGGGACCAACCTGTTGCTTTTGGATGCCTTCAGATGGTTAATGGACTAAATGAAAAAGAAGCCAGGGACCAACTTTCTTCAGACTAAAGACACAACTGTGATGGACAGTTTTGAAAAGTTTTTA